ATGTATGAAGAAAACACCAAATGTGAATACTCAGAGAACAAAATGCACTACCAACTGCTTATAAAATTTATTATTGAAGTGAAAACTGTGTTACTCATTCAAATCGTGCACTTATAATGCAAATATAGGAAAAACAAAACAAAGTGAAAAAGAAGGGTAGAAGTATTAAAACTAAAAATGAATTACAAACACCATTGGAAGCATAAGTGTTTTGATGATTATTTGCATTTTGCCCAATTTATATATCAATACAACAAAATCAAAATGTGCTACAACTTTACAAGTATTTGATGCAGTTGCACTTCAGAACATCACAAAATGGTTACTTAAAGTAATTTCTATACAATATTGTTTGTTTTCATTTACCAAACCTATGCAGACTTGAGTCTTTTTGAAATTTAATATGAAACTCAATTACAGAAAATCCGTAAATATCCAGAGATTTAATATTTACTTTTTAAAGAAACAAGTAAAATCCTACAATTGTGGCGAAAAAGCCATTGCCTTTCGAAAAGAAGCAAAATAGCAATGATAACAAATAAGCTAAATTCTCTCCCGTGAACCACTGTGGAGATGAGCTATGATATACTTTTTTGTGTAGACTAAAGAGTTTAATCGATCAAACAAGTTTGACGCTGGTAAAAAAACGACGCATATCTGCATTCATTGATGTGTAGCCGACATATAGCTCTTTCATCGATAGTTATAAATACATCCTCGTAGGAGCCGATAACTGGAAAGCTAGGTTGACTCGCTGTTACGAATTGTAGGTTTTTATCGTGATTTTCATCAAAAAATTGCTTGCCGAATCCCAAATACACACATACATTTTCTTCACTCTTTCCTCAGGAGGGAGTGGGAAATTGTGAAATTTTCGGAAAAGCGGTCAATTTCGGCAAATCTCAGCGGCAACGGACGAAATCCGAAATTTTTTTGGCGTCATCAGATATCTAAGGTCGCGCTTGAGATAGCCGCTCCAGTTATTATAGAACTCAATGCTACGAGTACGATTACGTCATTTTGGCGCGAAAACATTGTTGCAACAACAAAAACACGTTGCCGTCATCAATCTGAGTACGATTCAATGTGAGCACTAATTCACAATGACAATACAAAATTGACACCCACACATTACAACTAAAAACGTCACACCTAAATCAAACATCACAACTAAAAATAAAATATTTCACTTCAAACTAATCCACAACGACAATACACATTTCCTGTACACACAATACAATGACGTAAGAACCAGATAACAAATACGGCTAACCTGACGTTTACTCCTCATTTGACTCTGAAGATGACTACCGCTAAGGTTGTTGAAACTTCAGTCAACAACAAAAACAGTCCTTCTCAGGACTTTATTAACCTGGACGATCATCATTTACAAACATATAACGATACTCCCAGGCTCAAACCATTTACTTTATCTCTTTTTAAGCAAAGAAAGTAGGTATATTTCTTCATTCTGTAAGAAATTAGTTTACAGCTCTAATTTCGAGCATCAAGGCTTTAATTTAGAACCCTTTTTGAGCGCAGATGTACATTAAAAAGGAAAATATGACCTGCAAAACTTTCATGTATTTCGTACGCAAAGTGAAAGGTAAACAAACAATAACATAGTATAAATATGTCGTACATAAAACTTAAAATAGTGAAGATTTTTCAGTCTAAAGAGTCCTATATTCTCGCAAAACCAGTATTACCGATTCATTGATATAATTATTGACAAATAGAGCCGTAGTTGCATCGCAAACGTCGGTGTTTTACACAATAAAAAGGCTCGTTCTGTTGTTTACAACTAAAGCAAAATTTTGACGAAGCGATAACGACAACAAACTTCCTCGTGCCATTCTCTTACACGGTCAAACTTCGTACTCGTTGTCGTCATTGAGTGCTATAAGACATGGAGGGGAAAAGGGGCCTGGACCCCGTGGTCAAAAACATGGCGGTAAGGGCGGATCAGTGAACTCGACATTTAAATAACTGGAATGATAACCGAAGCCAAAAATTGAAGCCAAAAAAATATTTGTCGTCATCATTCGTCATTACACGTCAGGCTCAAGTCTCTCGCGTGTTCATTTTAATTTTTTTTAATCATTTGTCCCTTGATAATGGTAGAGTTCGGATCTTGATCAGAGCGTAAAAATAACGAAATTTTTGGAATGAAAAGGTTCACGGAAAGTGAATCAAAGTGATAAATCGAGAAGCAAGGTGAGGAGAACTTGGTCGATCTGCTCTTACGCTGCGGTTTTCCTTTAAAACATATCAAAGTCTTTGGTTTGAACCCGGGAGTATCGTTACATGTTAGTAAATGTAGATCGTCCAGGTTGATATAGTCCTGAGAAGGACTGTTTTTGTTTTTGTAGACTGACGTTTCGACAACCTTAGCGGTAGTCATTTTCAGAGTCAAAAAAATGACTCTGCAAAAACAGTCCTTCTCAGGACTATACCAACCTGGATGATCTACATTTACAAACAAGCAAAGTCTTTAAGGATATTCAATTATTGATATCGAGATGACAACCATTTAGTATTTCAAGCACTATCAAAATTGATAAAAAATACAATCGCTCTGTAAAAAGTAAAAATGCGAGTTATAGACTCAATATTTTTTATGAAACTGGATGTTCAAGTTTCTTTTTTCTTCGGAAAAACAGATCTTTAAATCCACTGAAATGACAAAAAAGACAAACACTGTCTGACACCGTTTATAAATTTACCTTCCGACGAAAGAAAAATTTATGCTTGAATATTTTCTCGTTATAATTTCTATTGTATTGTCTTTTTAGCATACAGTGTAATTTTCAGTTGGCTTTTCCTCGTTACAAGTTGTAAGTTACAACGAACTCACTGTAGTAAAGTTTCAGCTGTAAAAAATAACCTTTTGCGAGGAGTTGGCCTCGTGTGTTGTTTGTCGTGATGTTGTTTATATGTTTATGCTTTCGCAATTTGTATTCAAATTTATATTGGCCGTGTATGTTTGGCACTCAGGGGAATGATACTAACGTACAAACCGCGTTTATATTCGACTTTGAAGGACTGGAACTGACGTACAAACCGCGCAGAGACTAGGACTTTGGCTTCAATTTTATATCTATAAAATGTATTGTCGTTATCATTCCAGATATATATATATATGGAGTTCACTGGGGCGGATATTGGTGGTCAAAACTTCCACTTTAAAAATTTTTTTCAATATTCACTCCCTCCTGATTTCCAATACTGTTTATATGAACGATAACAAGTGAAAGAAAACATTTACGATACCGACAGCATACATGTGAAAATAATGCTTCAGCATTGCGTGAAAACACAGTACACACACATGAAAATAAAAAAAATCGACGGTAGAGAAACGCATATTTTGGCTGTAACATTTAAGTTATTTTATGACATTTTAACCTTTTAAAAGTGAAAATCAAACTGCATTCTTTAGTAGACCTGTCAATCTCATCAAACTTATACATTATTTCATGCTTCTGTGTGTTTGACTGTTTTTAAACAGTTTGGTGCAACTATTTTTCTTAGTTGAATTTTTTACAAAACATCGTACTCAGATTGATGACGGCTACGTGTTTTTGTCGCAACAATGTTTTCGCGCCAAAATGACGTAATTCGTACTCGTAGTCGTACTCGTAGTCTTTGCTAAAGCTCTCTATTTTCCCGTAATCGACCACGGTCCAAAACGCGTAATTTTACAGTCAAATGTAAACAAACTTCGTAAAGCAAATAGCAAAACGCAAAAAAAAACAAAGAAAAACCATTTGCGAATGTGATTCGAAGGAAAAACACTTGAAAAACAGTTAAACTATCCAGACGATACAATTTGAAACGAGTTTATTTTTACGGACGAAAACTAGAAAAGTGAAAATCAACCCGTAAAAAACAGCAAGGACGAGAAAGAAGCAAGCTTCGTTTCAGGTCAAATAATGCTATATAATAAACCTTTTAATAACCTCGCTTTCTCGGTCTTTACTGAGAAATATCGGACCTCTGTCTTTTTGTACAAACCTCGCAATACGGACTCTGTCAGTACAAAAACACCTCGGTCCGTTATTTCTCCGTAAAGACTTTGCGCTTGGTCATTAAGAGCTTAATAATCTACATGAAAAAATTTCTCAATTCTGTTGATTTTTAACTTCAGCGTACGTACATTTCAGACGGCGAGTTTAACCATCGATCAACCGCCTCGTATATTTAAATTCTGTCGGATATTACTTTTCACAACACCATACCTTCTGCACACGCAGCTAGAGCAAGGTATCTACTTTTAGCAGTGTTGTTATTTTCATTCAGAAACACTTTGCAAACGGTGAATTGTAAACTTTTTCGCTAAAGAAAACTTACTTAAAACTTACGGCAGCCGTTGTAATTGCTTTGTTTAAAATAATTTAACTTTCCCGCGTTTTATTTTGATGGACTCTTAGATCATTTCTTTGTTTGACTAGCCAATCAGGAGGGCATTTTTCAAAAATAAATTGCACTGTACTTCCTTTTTTTTGCACTGTGTTTCCTATTTTTGCACTGGTATTTACGATAAATTGCACTCCTCTAAACCAATCAAAATTGAGAAATTTTTTCATGTATATTATTAGTAGAGAAATAAATGACGCTGCTCTGAAATTTACAAAGCACGATAAAAACACTATATACATCAGTGACTGCAACATCAAATCCAGACCTTGCATTATCTAATTCTTATTTTTGTCTTTTTTTCTTATTTTTTCTTATTTTTCTTTTTGCACCCAAAATGTCTACGAATATAGGCTACTTAAAAAGATATGGTAATGTTACACTACGGCCCAACAGAGCTTAAGAGTGAACTCGAGTGCCTTGCACTCCCCCCTCCCCTTTACCGTTAATTGTCAAACATAGAATATACCGGGATGCAGAGTGGATAGAAAAATTCAAAAATTTAGATCATGTAAACCAATGGAAAAAATTTCATCGCCTTTAAGTCTGTTTTTTAAAAATTTACTGAAGGTCATTCCTACCTTCCTTCTCCTTAATTAAATCTTTTAGACTCTTCTCTTTTTCAGTTCCCTCAATCAAATCTTTAACATAGTGTTCAAACACTTTTATAAAGCCACGCTTTTTAAACAACGATGGAGGGGCATCCACAGTTAAGTTCAAAAGATATTCTGTATCAATACATCTAGTAAATTATACAGCAGAAAATATTTAAATATTTGAAACAATAAGATTACGTAAAAAATTAAAATGATGACAGAGTGATGCAAAGCATTTACTTTCCAGCAGCTTTGACATTCGATAGACAGAATTTTGGCTGAGGACAGGAAGCACAAAGTCCCTTATCACGACAGTTGTCATCATTGGGAACTAGAAAAATACATTATTTTTTATTTTTGAGACTGTTCTCGATCTTTCACTTATCATTACCTACACTGACACTCGTTATCTTATTTCTTATATATGTTAGTGTAAAGACTGCTCTTGTTCTCTGTTGTTCATTCATCACTAACTACACTGACACACGTTATCTTATTTCTTCTATGTATCAGTCTTAAATTCAATTGCTTTTTTTACCTTGAATATGAACGACCAGGTTTTTTGACAGGGTATGACGTGGATGTAAGGTACTTTCACATGAAATAGGAACATTGTAGGATAGGTTTCCACGAATAAATATACTTTTCTTCACGTGCAATTTCGGTGGACTGTCACGAACATAAAAATGACTAATCACTTTAGCAATTTCACTTAAAGTGTCTTCCTCCTTCTTGATCTGACAAGTGTATTCCGATAATTTCTCGGAATATGGCTGAAGATCAACCGTCCAATTTAAGCCACATTGTATTTGAGGATAATCCAAATCCTCGATAAAGATTTCACCAACAACTGAACAATCTTCACCAGAGCGAGGGGCTACGAGACATATTGACGTGGGTTCTTCGTTTACATCTGTATGTAATAAAGACAATGTAGCACTTAAACTTAAACTATTTTGTGTAGTACATTATTCAATTAATGAACATTGGTTTGTGGAGAGTTGAAATAACAAAGAATTTTCGGTTCTCGACCTTTGGCAACAATAAAGAGAATGCTTTGCTAGGTAAAATTGATCAGTCTATAAAATTCACTAGTAGATCCCCGCCAACAAATACAAAGACCCGCTAGTAGATCCATTGATGTATACAACGATCCACTTGTAGATCCATTAATGTATACAAAGGCCTGCCAGTGGATCAACTAATTAATACAATCATACACTAGTAGATACCCCTATAATATTTTCATTGTCTTCGAATTAAGGGTATCTTCCTGTTTTAGTTGACAATTTTGTGTTGTCAAAGATCCCTGGAAATTACAAATATTTGGTAATTTACAAAGCATTAAATGTACATCATGAAGAGAACAAAAATACTGATAAACATTAATACCACACCGTTTAAAAACGGGTGCTGAAGTCCCGAGCCGAGCACAACGGATGCGAGTCGTACTGAGGGAGTCAGAGGCATGCTCTCGTGGAACATTTTTAAATCAAGAAGCTCTAGCTAAAATTCCATTTCCTGGACTTTGGGGATAGAATATTACTGATTACATAGTGTCTAATGCGTTTTTCCAACCCAAATTCAAATTTTGATGCCCCATATTCATTTCTGCACCGTCAAAATCAACAGCTGGGGGGAGGGCATGACCCCCTGCCAGCATGCCATTGTCGGGGAGTAGTTTTAAATTGACTCCCAATTCCTAATGCTTTTTGTCACTCCAATACTATGTAGCTAAACTGTGTAACTGATTTGGTGTTTGTGTTTGCAACTACGTAATCCCTAAGCCACTCTTAGAACCTCTTAAGAACCGCTTTTTTTATTTAGAATCATGTTAATCCCACCATCCCCTTATCAATCTTTCCAAACATTATGACATATAATCGTCAGTCACACGAAAATTGTTCACCCTGACTAGTACTCTGTAAACTTGGTGTTACCTAACATAATCTAGATTTAATTTATTTACGGCTTTAACGTAAAGAAACAAACCTAAAACAGTTATGGTAAAATTCTTTTCAAAATGCAATCCACCGCAATCTCTCACAATTATGAGTACCACTAAACTTGGTGTAAGCTCGTAATTAACAGATCCTAAGTGAAATAGTTCATCATGATTGGTTCCACCAATGACAAAAGACGCAATATTATCAGCAAGAGTGTAAATAAAGGACTGATTTGAACCATCAGGATCGTCAGCGGTTAAAATGCCAACATAGGTCATGTTAGGAGAGTTATAAAAAACTGAAGTAAAAACAACATTGAATACAAAAACTGACAAATAACAGACAGCACAAAATAGGAAAAAATATTATCTTAAGCAAAAATTCAGCAACTAAAGCACATTTTCTATTACGATCTTTCACCAAATTTCAGAGTTCAAGGCTTCAGAGTTGACTGATTTTTGCCAGCCAACTTCAACATAAACAGCACTCACGATGTGATTAACCCTTTCTTTCCCAGCGTTGTCGTTGACAACATCAATGAAATCATCCCAAACTCATAGGATCAAAAAACTTGGGAAGTACAGGGTTAAAAGCTAGACTTACCAGTGATGAAAACTTTAAATGACTTTGAAATATCGAGGCCAGCAGCATCTTTACAAGTGACATTGATATTGTAAACATTTCTTTCTTCAAAATCGAGAAGGCTATTATATTTAACTCGGAGAAAATTGCTATCAGTTTCGTGAGTAATGTAAAACTCATCTTCATCTCCGTCACCATTTAATGAGTTCTCGAGGGAGCAAATATGGATTTGAGGTGGCACACTTTTTACATCTGGATCTTTTACCTGTGACAGAAGTATACTCTTAATGCATGTTCTAGGCTAAGTTTTTTATAAGGTAATTGTATGTCTCCTTGTTAAGTATAAGTTCTTTCTGACTAAAATATGTTTAGTGTTGGATTAGGATTGAAATTGCTTTTACGAAGTTACAGTGATAGTGTGAAGTTTTGAAAGAATTGAAAAATGCGACAGTTAAAATGAATTCTTAAAAAAAGCATTTATATTTTTTAACAAAAACATTGCCTTCGGGGAATCTCGGTATATCTTTTTTACAAACACGAAATCTAAGCAACCGATTGATGTTTAACTCACCAAAAACTTTCCAATCACTGTTGAAGCTGGAGAATTCTCTGCTACAAAATTTTTAGACATCAAAATATCAGTTGGAGCTTCGTTTACATCGGTTACTTCGATCCTAAATTGTTTGAGCGCCATTCTCACAGGATCTGCGACAGCCAACCAAATAATGTACATGTTTCTTTCTTCATAATCAAGAGAACCGTTAACAACGAGGGGAATCGAGTAAAAATTAGTTGATTTATCGTTCATTGTACGATTTTCAACGTTTGGAACACCTGAAAGAAGTTTTTATGTAAACAAAACTGGATTTACTAACTACAGATAAAAATTTGGAATTTTCAAAGTACTCAGAGTCAGTGTTGATTTAATCTATTGTTATTAAACTGATAATTTTTTTTTGTATTTGATATTAAAGAATGAAGAAAACTAAATCACGCTATCAAAGGTTATGGATAAAAAATCAAAAAATCCCCATGTATACAAACCTTGTAGAGCAAACTTTTCACGAACCAAAACACTGCTGTGATTCAAATAAAACTTTAACGTGTCATTATCGTCATCAGTCGCAACGAAGTAGCCGATGACCGACCCCAGAATGCAATTCTCCGGGATGCGATTACCCGTCAAAATTATATCCTTGGGTGATTCGTTAATGTCTCGTACAAAAACAAACAAACTCTGGATAGACGAAGATTTTGGTGGATGACCTCGGTCCGTACATATTACCTTTATACGATGTTTTTTCTTTTCTTCGTAATCGAGGCTTTCTGCAACAACTATCATGTTATCTAACAACTTGAAGTAACCATTACCAGAGTCAACCAATTCCCAGTCAAAATTTGAAGTGTGTTTTTGATCAAGATCATCGTCTCTAGCTGTTAGATTACCAACAACAAAACCAATATTGACATTTTCAAGCACTTCGTTACTTGAAAGTTTTATATCGTAAGGAGGATCATTAATGTTCAACACAGTAATGTTAAAACTAGTTGTAGTAAACATAACAGGTGAACCATTGTCACTCACATTAATTTTAACAGTGTAAATATTATCTGACCGGGTTTCCACACCAAACGTCTTTTACCAACAATGCTCTTCCTTGAACAAGAAAATAAAATTTGCGTCCGCATTCATTATTGTGAACGTCAAGGGATCATTTTGAAAATCGTATGCATAGAAAAAGCCGACAATGGTAAAAATGCTCATTTTCTCATTGATATAAGCTCTCGAGAAATGTATATGTAAAGGTGGATCGTTTTCTCTCCTGCAGTAATAGGGTACAGCAATTGGGTCCCAGTCCCAAGCAACATTCTCGGTGTTACCGTCCAATATACATTGAGCCCTCTCAATGGATACGTTGAAATTTATCCCAAGGAAGTTTCTAGCGAAGGCGTTAGGGATGTTTGTTGATTCAATGACAGCTAGTTTGAAATTGCCATCACAGTCAATGGAACAGAATTTCAAATATTCATGTCCGTGTGGGCAACTGATGCGTGCAGGCTTGCAGGCTGTTCCAAACTCATCATGATATGCATTTGACGGACATGGAGGTGAGATCAATGGTGAACATGATTTAGGTTCACACTTGTGTGGAGTTATTTCTGATTGTTTATAACCAGATAAACAGTCACACCAATAACTACCATCTGTGTTTATACAGTTGGAATTTATACAACCACCATTTCTATTTTACATTCGTCTATATCACCACATGATTTACCATCAGCTGAATGAAAATAAAATACAATACAATAAATGGAAACATTCAATAACTGGTCATTACCATATATGGAAAAACTGGTTATTACCCTATATGAAAACTGTAACGGGTGATCACCATAAATGGAAAGTTTAAATAACTGGTCATTACCATAAATGAATTAAAATAATCGATCATTACCATATAAGGACACTTTAAATAATGAATTACTGCGATGTACTATGTCTCAAGGTATTCCAACTTCAATACGCTGCTGTATGAAAATTACAGAATAAACTCCCGCAGTTTTGAAAATTCTGAAAGATCGGAGTTCTAGCTATGGAGTGTCATGTTGTTAATTACGTGCTGAAAAAACAACAAGCAAATGAGACTTAACACTTTAATTTAACTACACGCTTACATATGTAGTTCACATTATCATTTTTATGTGGATTCGGTGATCACGTTGAAGTGAAAGTGGTACAACTCGCGACAGAATAATGCAAGTAGTGCTCAAAATTTTGACGAGACCGACAGTTTATAAATAACGCACGATGAATCTTTGTTTCTTCTTTAACCTGAGGTAAAAAAATACTTTTTCGATTCGAACAATGTTTCTTCCAACGTGCTTACATTTGCCCATTTTTTTACTTATTACATGCTTTGAACCATGGACGGATTTTCATGTTTTTTTACAGGGGTGGTGAAAAATCTGATGCTTCAAGCATTACAATATTCGATGATTAAAACACTTGTTTTTTTTTGTTGAAGTTTGTTTAGAAAAAAATATATTGAAAAGTCATTACCTTGAAGTTCATAGCCGGGGCGAATTACACATTGACGAGACTCTTCTAAAGAAGGACATGGGGACCCCCCGTGAGCAGGATTTGTCGTGATGTGACGACGACGAGTTCTTGTTCCAATGCCACATTTTGTACTGCAAGCACTAAATTCCGTCCACGCTGTAGAAAGATGAAGAAAGAATATTGGATTAAAAATCAAAGATTACTTATGTTCATCATTTACGAGTTGTGTTTTGTCCTTTTATTGTGTTGAAATTTTCTCACTGTCAGTAGCGTAGTTAGCCTGCAGGTTTTGGTCCTGCCATGTAAATTTGAATCATTGTTATTATTTATGTTTTTATAAATCTATTGTTTTTGCAGTAAGTAAATAACGATAAATTTCACGGTAATGAGTGGATAAGCAGGATGGCTACGCCACATTATTACATCTTGATCTTACACTATCTTATAACCTTGCATTACATGTAACAAATGTTAACAAACGATTTCTTTGAGTTGGAAGTTACGGTTGGAAGTCTCATGTATGAAATATCCAGCGATCCCAAAGATAGTGAAAGTTGCATCGACAGATGGAAATTTGCTATTTTGAACTGGTTGAACGCTGTTATCTTGTTTCGTTACTTCGACGTTTGTAACAATTGGAATTATTTTTTGCAAATTTTCGCACCTATGATTGTTCATTTCAAGTCGTTTCAAATCGTCTCATTGAGAGCAAGGAAAAATTCTTGATAACGACTGCATACTGAGAAGGGCCAACGGAGCATGAGATGTATCAAATATTACACAAAAAGCTTAGATACAAAATAAATCAAGCGCCGAGAAGACGTTATTTCATATTGAGCACAAAATAAATATTACATAAGTTTACCTATTAAGAATCGATCGTCACAGTATACTGCAAGTTGTAATGGAAAAGATTATCTAGAATAATCTAAAAGTTGAAGCGCGAATTCCGGCATAATGATTGAAAATTTCATATGCGGCTAAGCACAAGATAGTTCATAGCAATATTTGCAAATCTAAAGGACGAAGGAGGATAATTCTGGGTTCAAAATTCAAGTGAAAGATCACATAAAATAAGACCATATAAGCGACTACATTACCTCAAAATAACCAACACGATATTCATGCATCAAACGAATGGAGAAATCACAAGATGTCATGTAAGGCATAATTTGACTTTTTGTGATAAGCAAAACGAAATTCCAATGGCTTGAAAACGTATTTCGGCATTTAAAAAACAATATTTGATTTTACGGATGGATGAGCCATGACTTATACAATGAGCAACTAATAATTTTTAAACATTTCTTCCAACATCTAAAATAAGGCAAAGCAAAAACTTACGCGAAACTTGACAATTTACTGATGGTGGAAGTGGTGTTGGACTTCTTCGTGGTCTTATTTCTCTCGATGATAACACGAAGATCAAATGAAATACCAACAATAAATAAGTAACAACAAAGAAACGTCTCAATAACATTACTAAGGATTCAAAGGTTTTACCACAGCAAAATATTCTTCATATAAGTGAAAAAAAACTCCGGTTTTAAGTTGTCAAAGATGTCTTCAATCATTAACGAATGTACTTTCATATTTCGTACCACAACCTCCACACTGTGATTTCATGCCGTTTTCATAAACGCTAAACTGCATGTGTCATTCAAATGAGACATTCCACACAGGTTTTAAATATTTGAGTTCAATAAAATATTGTGTTGAATGAGCAACAGAAAGCTAAAACAGTATAGTATACGGCTAAATTCGTCAGATATCACTTTAAATAAAACTGTGTTTCATCTATAATTGTATATTGTCTCCTCTGCCTTACATGGTTTCATTAATACCTTTAGCAAACTTTACAAAAGAAGAATAACTAGACACAATAGCCATAGAAAAGAATACTTTATTTCAACAGCATCAAAGACAGCAAAGTCCAAAAATAATTAGCATTACATTCCTTAAAAGAATGATTCAAGGAAAGTATGACATTAATTAGTTTAAAGTAAGCCAGTTTTTTTATTGCTTCTTGGACTTTAACTATCTGTTCATTGAACAGTGTAGAAAAACTGCAAGTGAAGCGAAAAGTCGAAATCTGCGAAAATTGTGTCAAAATCTTAATAGGCGAAGGCAAGGGAGAAAGGGGGCATGGAGGCGACTGCCGCGAATAATATTTTCAAGACCATCATCTTTGAAAATATTTCTAATGATAGCAAATACCATAGTGAATGGTAAAAGTAATATAATAAGTTGATAGTTCTTAAAAGAACTGTTTAAAGTAAAGAGCACTAACCCAGTAGTTCTAAATTAAACGACACGATGCATTTCGGCAGACTACTCCTCAGGTGTCAACGTCTGCTAAATGAAAATTTACAATCTACCGATATTTATAATGTCAAGAAAGTGTGTACGTCATCTCCAAAAGGGGAGATGACGCTCAAAAACAGGGATAAATTGAAACCATAATCCTTTTATCGCAGAGGACGGGATTGGTTAACCAATCATTTAAGTTAGAACTATTGGGTTAGTGCTCTTTACTTAAAACACTTCTCTTAAGAATTATCAACTTATTATATTACTTTTAGATTTCACTATGGTATTTGCTATCTTTAGAACTATTTTCAGATTTGTCACCACGACAAAGTCTCTATTTTACAATTAACTTTATTTGTACAATTAAGTGCTATATTTACGTACGTACATTTTGCATAAGGGGGACGATGTTGCCCCTAAAGAACAAGTTACGGAGAAGACAAAAATAAACAAACATATACCTATAAGTCTTCTTCTTGACATTCTCTTCTTCAGCATCTGAAAGATACTAAATAACAAATTGGTGGTATGACAAAAACAAACAAGCAAAAACATACCGCAGTTTTTATATGCGCCTAGTGCCATGTTTAACAGTTAAGCTGAATAATTACTAAAATGTGTATGAAAACATCTTGTTTTTGATTCAAAATTAAGACTATGATGGATAGATGGTTCAATGGTAGATAGATGGTGCAATGGTAGATAGATGGTGCAATGGTAGATAGATGGTGCAATGGTAGATAGATGGTGCAATGGTAGATAGATGGTGCAATGGTAGATAGATGGTGCAATGATAGATAGATGGTGCAATGGTAAATAGATGGTGCAATGATAGATAGATGGTGCAATGGTAAATAGATGGTGCAATGGTAGATAGATGGTGCAATGGTAGATAGATGGTGCAATGGTAGATAGATGGTGCAATGATAGATGGTGCAATGGTAAATAGATGGTGCAATGGTAGATAGATGGTGCAATGGTAGATAGATGGTGCAATGGTAAATAGATGGTGCAATGGTAGATAAATGGTGCAATGGTAGATAGATGGTGCAATGGTAGATAGATGGTGCAATGGTAGATAGATGGTGCAATGGTAGATAGATGGTGCAATGGTAGATAGATGGTGCAATGGTAGATAGATGGTGCAATGGTAGATAGTGGTGCAATGGTAGATAGATGGTGCAATGGTAAATAGATGGTTCAATGGTAGATAGATGGTGCAATGGTAGATAGATGGTGCAATGGTAGATAGATGGTGCAATGGTAGATAGATGGTGCAATGGTAGATAGATGGTGCAATAGTAGATAGATGGCGCAATGGTAGATAGATGGTGCAATGATAGATAGATAGTGCAATGGTAAATAGATGGTGCAATGGTAAATAGATGGTGCAATGGTAGATAGTGCAATGGTGGATAGATGGTGCAATGGTGGATAGATGGTGCAATGGTGGATAGATGGTGCAATGGTGGATAGATGGTGCAATGGTGTATAGATGGTGCAATGGTGTATAGATGCTACAATGTTAGATAGATGTTGCAATGGTAAATTGATGGTGCAATGGTAGATAGATGGTGCAATGGTGGATAGATGGTGCAATGGTAGATAGATGGTGCAATGGTGGATAGATGGTGCAATGGTGGATAGATGGTGCAATGGTGTATAGATGCTACAATGTTAGATAGATGTTGCATTGGGGGAGCAATAGTAGATAAATGGTCAAATCCGTTCCCTTAGCTAAACAATCTCTAATATCAATAAATGAAAATCTATGCTCCCAGCAATGTTGAATCAAATATTCTTTAAAGGATTTAACAGAATACCCTCAGCTACAACCCACACTAGCAATGATTTTCAAAACCAAAAGAGAACTTGCAGACTGTACACCAGAAAATAAAGTATATATTTTTGATGTTTAAGATTTTGTAAAATTCAATATGTTTACCTCGACAAGTAAAGGTCTTTTTGAAACTTTAGTTTCATCTCGTTGAATCTATTTAGAGTAAGGTAAGTGTAACGATTGTTCCATAACCTGTTTCAAAATCTCACAAATGTATAAGTAGATGGATAAAAATGAAATTCAGCTAGAGCAAGAGAAACTTACTCGTAATAATTATTAAAGAAAAATAATTGGAGATAAGTTGGAAAATTAAATAAAATCAAATTGCAACAAAACCTTGCTAAATAACTTCTTTGTCGGATTAATTGTTCCACCATGAGTATGAAAAGGGTTTGTGTTTTTTCCCATGACTGTCAAATAAAGAATATGTAAGGTGTAAGACAAGTACATCAATAGACAACACCAGTACACAAATGAGTAAAACAAGTAATTCAATGTATAATACAAGTATGGCAAGGTATAAACAAGTACACCAAGGTATAAGCTAGGGCATAAGGTTAAAAACACCAAGGTCTAAGACAAAAACTCAAGAAAAAAATCAACCTGTTCTCATGGAGTAAACACCAGCAAACTTATTCACATCTCGACTTTTCTTTTCTTTAAAGTCATGAAAACAGAAATCAATTTAAATTTAGACAACGAAAAATCTTTGTTTTCCTGAGAAAGACATCTTATTGTCGAAAAGAAAACAAAAACATACCTCGCGTCGAGATAGCTGATTTTCGTGAAACTTGCTTCGGAGCTCGATAATCAATTTCTAAGTGCCCATAACTAAAATTTTTTTCGCTTTTACTACTAACATTTGATCTTATTTCACCGTAACTTTCTATTACAAGCTCATTTTTAGGATAAAACGACGTCAACTCTGTGCCAAGGTCTCTTATCTTCTGGTTGATGCAATCGATAGAATCCATTTTTCCTTTAGAGGCTTCGCAGATAAATTAAAGACGAATACTATATTCACTCGATTTTTATATGTAAAATACACATTTTCCCATTTTTTCATAGGTTTATACAAAGAAAACCCATAGGAAACGTCTGCAAAAATCTGCTCACTTGCAATTTTAGCTATAAAATCAAAACAAAATCGCATAAGGCAAATTACCAAGTATATAATGTCATTACACGAGGCTGTCTAGACTCAAAAGAGAAGCTAATTATTTAATTGAATGCTGCCAAAAATTAACATCATAAAAGACAAGGATACACGACAAGGAACGCCTCCTTTCATCAAACTCGTCAACCAAACCATTCGAATTCACGAAAGAAGACATTTCTTTAAAAAATGTCTAAATATTGTTCCTTTCAAATGTTAGTTTCTGTCCGCCATCTTTGACAACCTAATGCATGTTTCCATGGCAAAATGACGCAATGAGTGAGAGCGCTGATTATGCAAAAATATTGATTGGGTCGTTAGGAGTGATTGGTGAGCAATAGTTGGCAAATAACAGTCCGAGTTGTTTCAAGTTACGTGTATCAGTATGTAAAGGTAGTAATGAATGAGCAACAGAGAACGAAAACAATCTTGTAGTCGTACTAACAAAATATTATTTAATTTAATGACTTATATGTGTGTGTGCCTTAGGCTTGATATCAAAAATTGTGTGAGAAAGTATTTAGTAATTGTTTGCATACTCGTTGCTTGTCCGATGTCGGACTGGATTTTCATTCAAACTTCCTTGTTCTTCTTTTATTGGTCTCCAATTGTTTTCATCGTTTGTTTCTATGGGACTCTTCCAGTAGGGTTTTCTCCCTCAGGAGAATTTTCTCTCCCTGGAGGGTTTTCTCCCTCGGGAGGGCTTTCTCTCTCAGGAGGTTTTACTCCCTCAGGAGGATTTTCTCCCTCAGGAGGGTTTTCTTCCTCAGGAGGATTTACTCCCTCAGGAGGGTTTTCTCCCTCAGGAGGATTTACTCCCTCAGGAGGGTTTTCTCCCTCAGGAGGGCTTTCTCCCTCAAGAGGGTTTTCTCCCTCGGGAGGGCTTTCTCCCTCAGGAAGGTTTTCTCCCTCAGGAGGATTAACTCCCTCAGGAGGGTTTTCTCCCTCAGGAGGGTTTTCTTCCTCAGGAGGGTTTTCTCCCTCAGGAGGGTTTTCTCCCTCAGGAGGGTTTTCTCTCTCAGGAGGATTTACTCCCTCAGGAGGGTTTTCTTCCTCAGGAGGATTTACTCCTTCAGCAGGGTTTACTACATGACATAACTAAAATTCAAAGAGTTTTATTCAGAAAAATTAACGTTTCCTTATATTATAATAACTGCCGTTTTTAGTAAATTCAATATATGCATATTTATGCAAAATGATTTGTCAGTTTGCATTTTCATATGGTGGGATGTTTTAAGTTTATACTTTACTCACCCTACGGGCTTGGTCTGTTCAAAAATAACTTAGATCCGATATTTTTCCATAAAGACCACGAGCTCGCTTAATAAGGGCTTAATAAACATTAATATCAACTGGAGAGATAACTCAACATAAACTCTTACTTTCTGTAACTCCTAATTACTTAATGTAATTAACCCTTTCTTTCCCAGCGTTGTCGTTGACAACATTAATGAAATCATCCCAAACTCATTGGATCAAAAAACTTGGAAAGTAAAGGGTTAAAAGATAGACTTACCAGTGATGAAAACTTTAAATGACTTTGAAATATCGAGGCCAGCAGCATCTTTACAAGTGACATTGATATTGTAATCATTTCTTTCTTCAAAATCGAGAAGGCTATTATATTTAACTCGTAGAAAATTGCTATCAGTTTCGTGAGTAATGTAAAACTCATCTTCATCTTCATCCCCATTAAATGAGTTCTCAAGGGAGCAATGATGGATCTGAGGTGGCACACTTTTTACATCTGGATCTTTTACCTGTGACAGAGGTACACTCTTAATGCATGTTCTAGGCTAAGTTTTTCATAAGGTAATTGTATGTCTCCTTGTTAAGTATAAGTTCTTTCTGACTAAAATATGTTTAGTGTTGGATTAGGATTGAAATTGCTTGTACGAAGTTACAGTTTTAGTGTGAAGTTCTGGAAAAATTGAAAAACGCGACAGTTAAAATGAATTCTTAAGAAGAGCATTTATATTTTTTAAAAACATTGCCTTCAGGGAATCTCGGTATATCTTATAAACAAACAAGAAATCTAAGCAACCGATTGATATTTAACTCACCAAAAACTTTCCAATCACTGTTGAAGCAGGAGAATTCTCTTCTACAAACTTTTCAGACATCAAAATATCAGTTGGAGCTTCGTTTACATCGGTTACTTCGATCCGAAATTCTTTGAGCTCCATTCTCTATGGATCTGCGACATCCAACCAAATAATGTAAACGTTTTCTTCTTCATAATCAAGAGAACCGTTAACAACGAGGGGAATCGAGTAAAAATTAGTTGATTTATCGTTCATGGTACGATATTCAACGTTTGGAACACCTGAAAGAAGTTTTTATGTAAACAAAATTGGATTTGCTAACTACAGAGAAAAATTTGGAATTTTCAAAGTACTCAGAGTCAGTGTTGATTTAATCTATTGTTATTATACTGATAATTTTTTTTGTATTTGATATTAAAGAATGAAGAAAACTAAATCACGCTATCAAAGGTTATGAATGTAAAATCAAAAAAATCACCATGTATACAAACCTTGTAGAGCAAACTTTTCACGAACCAAAATACTACTGTGATTCAAATGAAACTTTAACATGTCATTATCGTCATCAGTCGCAACGAAGTCGCCGATGACTGACCCCAGAACGCAATTCTCCGGGATGCGATTACCCGTCAAAATTATATCCTTCGGGAATTCGTTAATGTCTCGTACAACGACAAAAATATAGATAGACGAAGATTTTGGTGGATGACCTCGGTCCGTACATTTTATCTTTATACGATGCTTATTCTTTGCTTCGTAATCGAGGCTTTTTGCAACAACTATCATGTTATCCAGCAAATTGAAGTAACCATTACCAGAGTCAACCAATTCCCAGTCAAAATTTGAAGTGTGGTTTTGATCAAGATCATCGTCTCTAGCTGTTAGAATACCAACAACAGAACCAATATTAACGTTTTCAAACACTTCGTTATTTGAAAGTTTTATGTCGTATGGAAGATCATTAATGTTCAACACAGTAATGTTAAAACTAGTTGTAGTAAACATAACAGGTGAACCATTGTCGCTCACATTAATTTTAACAGTGTAAATATTATCTGACCGGGGTTTCCACACCAAACGTCTATTTACCAACAATGCTCTTCCTTGAACAAGAAAATAAAAATTTGCGTCCGCATTCATTATTGTGAACGTCAAGCGATCATTTTGAAAATCGAATGCATTGAAAAAGCTGACAATGGCAAAAGTGTTTGTTTTCACATTGATAGAAGCTCTCGAGAAAACAATATTTGAAGGTGGATCGTTTACTCTCCTGCAGTAATAAGGTTCAGCAATTGGGTCCCAGTCCCAAGCAACATTCTCGGTGTTACTGTCCAATACACATTTTTCCCTCTCAATGGGTACGTTGAAATTTATATTAAGGAAGTTTCTAGCGAAGGCGTTAGGGATGTTTGTTGATTCAATGACAGCTAGTTTAAAATTTCTATCACAGTCGATGGAACAGAATTTCAAATATTCATGTCCGTGTGGGCAACTGATACGTGCAGGCTTGCAGGCTGTTCCAAACTCATCATGATATGCATTAGGTGGACATGGAGGTGGGATCAATGGTAAACATGATTTAGGTTCACACTTGTGTGGAGTTATTTCGGATTGTTTATAACCAGGTAAACATTCACACAAATAACTACCATCTGTGTTATATACAGTTTGAGTGTATACAGTCACCATTTCCATTTTTACATTCGTCTATATCACCACATGATTTACCACCAGCTAAATGAAAATAAAATACAATACAATAAATGGAAACATTCAATAACTGGTCATCATTATATATGGAATTTTTAAATAATGGTCATCACCATATATGGAAGCATTAAATAACTGGTCATTACCATGTATGGAAAAACTGGTTATTACCCTATATGAAAACTGTAACGGGTGATCACCATAAATGGAAAGTTTAATTAACTGGTCATTACCATAAATGAAATAAAATAACGGATCATTACCATACAAGGACACTTTAAATAATGAATTACTGCGATGTACTGTGTCTCAAGGTATTCCAACTTCAAAACGCTGCTGTATGAAAATTACAGAATAAACTCCCGCAGTTTTGAAAATTCTGAAAGATCGGAGTTTTTAGCTACGGAGTGTGATGTTGTTAATTACGTGCTGAAAAAACAACAAGCAAATGAGACTTAACACTTTAAATTAACTACGCGCTTACATATGTAGTTCACATTATCATTTTTATGTGTATTCGGTGATCACGTTGAAGTGAAAGTGGTACAACTCGCGACAGAATAATGCAAGTAGTGCTCAAAATTTTGACGAGACGGACAGTTTATAAATAACGCACGATGAATCGCTGTTTCTTCTTTAACCTGAGGCTGAAGTAAAAAAATACTTTTTCGATTCGAACAATGTTTTTTCCAACGTGCTCACGTTTGCCCATTTTCTACTTACTACATGCTTTGAACCATGGACGGATTTTCATGTTTTTTTACAGGGGTGGTGAATAATCTGATGCTTCAAGCATTACAATATTCCATGACTAAAACACTTGTTTTTTTTGTTGAAGTTTGTTTAGAAAAATATATATTGAATTGTCATTACCTTGAAGTTCATAGCCTGGGCGAGTTACACATAAACACGATCCATCTGCAGAGTTACAAACATCTTGACATCCCCCGTTAGGTGAACCACATTTGCTACCTGTAGAAGCTATATCCAGTTTATTATCAGATCAGTGGAGACAACCCCTTTACTTCATCTGCAATAATGGATAAATTTGTCAAGGCTTTCATCATATCAAATTCTTGATGGGTAACTTTCCTTAAACTCTTATTGATGATACTAATGTGATTTTAATATTTCATTCACCTGATTTAACAAACTCGGAGCGAAATAGATTATATCCGTATGACCCCCGTAATCTGGGTGGTGGTTTGGGGACTTTTGGTGGATTACATGAGGGTAGGGGTGACTCTGAATTATTAGATTGACATTTTCTTTTGACAGAAGCAACTTTGTTGCCAATCTATTTCTGAAAAAAGCATAATGTCAGTTGTGAAGAAGCTTATGAATGATTTCAAAACATGCAGTGTCAAACAAATTTTGTGAAATTTTTACTGACATTATAACATCAAGTGTTACAATAAAGCTGCACCAGTTACTGTGTTTCACAGCCTATAACTCTGCACATAAAGGATGTCTATTGTATATCACAACACATTATAAGAATGTGCTTTTTGAAAAAAAGAAAAGTTTAAAGTAGAACTTCATACTGTGGAATAGAAATACAAATTTAGGGATGTGATTAAGATACGTATGGCTTTGATTTGATAGCGTTTCTTTCGTTGTTGGTTTATTGCATACAGACAAATTTTTAAAAGACGGCGGACAACTAAAGAAGAGGTCGTTCTCACCTTGACCTTGTCCACAGACAACGTTTCTTCGGCGGCTGTTTTTATCAGCTCAAAACACAGAGTAGATTTCAGGCCATTCTCAAAATAGTAATTAAGAGCATCAGTTTGCTCTCTTGAAAGTTTGTTATATTTTTGAGGTCTGTTGTTCATTGTATTTGAATAATTCCTTGGTATATGTAGATTATTAGTGTATGTTTGGAAACAAAAATGGCGACGATCTCAGATATTATTATCCTAATGTGTAGAATAGTGTACAACAACATCATACCGCATCCATTATTAGATAGCACAGAAAGCAATCTAATTTGGCTATCTTCCGCATTCTAAGGGGGTGTTTACATGAATCGGAATGACTTTCGATCCGGAATGAACTCATTCCATTTTAAAAGAAATTCTACTGCATGTTTACATGAATCCGGAATGAGTTACAACTCGATCTGGATCGAGTTCATTCCTATTTTCATTCCGGATCGAAGTTTCATTCCATTCAATGGGGTATAATGAGTGCGAAAAAAAGCAACAATTAGTTTTTTGCAAGTATTAAGCTGTATTAACTCAGAAACGAAAGGAAAGAAAAGGGTTGTTATAATGTTTAAGTTTGTTATCTTCAAAATTCAAAATTCCTGCGAAAAGTCAATCCTTGAGTTCATTTCCCATATAAACGTGGATTGACATCACGTTTCGATTGGAATTGAAAGTCATTCCGGATTCATGTAAACACCCCCTAAAGTTTAGAACTCTGAGTAATACCCATTTAGAATGAGCGAAACGGGTGCAAGACCAGACTATTAAGCTGCGTGCTATACCGGATTCACTCTTCGTTTGCTGTAAAGGCTTTATTTGTTTTTTTAATTGCCTTTGTTCAGTCTCTTCAGATAATTAATGTTTATTAAATTCAGAGCTTAAGTCCATTCAATTGTGCTTCTGGCATTAACCATTATCACTGCCTTTTAATACTTTAATAAACGGGATCTTGGTAATATTGAAACTCCAGAAATACCATTTACTATGGTATAAGAGTTTTATTATGTATTTTATAAAGTTGACTTTAAATGTCATACGTCTTCAACAAAAGCAAATGAGAATAAAATTTAAATAATCAGATATTATATCATTCAATAATG